GGAACAAACTAAAACAGATTTTAGAAGTCATGTCATTATTCTCTTGCCCCAGTGGTTAAATGTTAAGAATCCTAGAGTCAGATTGCCTTTCCAAGTTTCATTTTTACCCTCTGTCAGACGAGGGGCGTCATAATATCTACCTTACAGATTTGTTGTGAAGATATAGTTCAGATAATGTCTACAGTCACCTAAGAGAGTGGTTGATACATAGTGAGCTCATGGTTTATGTACATAATATAAAACATTGTTTGAAATTATTTTAATTTTTCCCAACTTTATATAAAAAAAATTTCAAGATTTTACAAAAGAGTAAAAAGAATAGGATGGTTAAAGCCATGATATATTATCACCTAGATTTGCCAGTTAATATTGCGTCCCATGTGCTTTATCTCTTTAGGTATATGTATGTGTGTACCTTTGTGTGTAAACCTGACAAAATATATTCCCCCACCCCCGGCAGTAAGAGTTGTTTATATGTTCCCACTTTATAGATGTGTGACAAATTATATTTCTTATTTTGTTTCAAGAGTATGGTGCAGAGGGGTTCAATTTAAAATTATTACTCTAGAAATAATGCATTTTAACTTTCTTGGAAAAACCAGGAACGCATATATAATTCTTATTTCTAGTAGTGTCGCAGTTTGAATTTCTTTTGGAATGGCACCCAGTTCTAACTCGAGCACAATTTATTGGTTAAACAACTTTAACAGATCTTTCTGTCAATAGCATAATGCATCAAAAAAAATGATAGGAGTAAATAGTTTTAACCACATTTGCTGAGACACAGTCTACATCATATTAATATGTTTAGAAGTATCACAGATATGATATTTGTAGGGTTATGCATTGAGATCTTAACTAGTTAATGAGGATTTAACGGTAAAATTTCCAGGATTTCTAAGCCAATTTGGAATTGTTGAGGAGGATTACAAAACTAGGGTGATTATAGATTTGCTTATGAAGAGAGTTCAGGATCAGTATTTCCATGATGTCATCATGCATCCTGAAGAGAAAATGGTCTGAACTTTTGGTCATAACTTTTCCATGAAAGGTAAGGCTCTTATCAAAGGAAGTAGAACTCACTGCCGGGCATAGTAGACTCTCAAAGAGTAGATCATACTCATTTGGGGTTACTAGGGTAAGAAAATGCTATACGTATTTTTTATAATATAATTTTAATGAAAATACCCATGTAACATAGATTTTAAAGTCCTGATTCCTGCAAGCAAGCATTTCAACTCTTTAAATGTCTTTTAGATACCTCTTTTTTCTAGACATTACTATTTTTTTCAATATTCAATATTATTTCTTGATTTTTCTCATACATACCATCCCCAATTACATACAGATACTATTCAGCTTATGATGAGGTTATGTCTCAATAAATCCATTCTCATTGTAAGTTGAAAATGCAGTTAATACACCTAACCTACTGAACATCAGTGTAGCCTAACTTACCTGAAACGTGCTAAGAACACTTAAACATTAGCCAGCAGTTGGGCAAAATCATCTAACACAATGAATGTACTGTAGACTATCAGTTGTTTACCTTTGTGATCATGTGGCGGACTAGGAGCTGCTGCTCATTGCTGTTGCCCAGCATCACAAGACACTGTTGCACTACATATTGCTAGCCTGGGAAAAGATCAAAATTCAAAATTCAAACTATAGTTTTTACTGAATGCTTATCGCTTTTGCATCATTGTAAAGTTGCAAAATCGTAAGTCAAACCATTTTAAGTCGGGGGCCATCTGTACAAACACTCCCTAAATTCTCCCCAAATACTTATGTCATACTTTTTGGTTAAACCATTTTTCTGCATGTACAATATAATGATTGTTGAAATATTGTTCAAATATCGAGCTATGAAGGCATTATTACTGTGTTTTCTTTCTAGTACATCCCTATCCCTCCTTCCCTCAGAAATAAAAATTACTGATACTTGAGTTTTAAAAAATTTTCTTAGTTACTACATATCCTTTATTAATTCTTCCTCTCAAGTTTACAACAGAATTGTAAGTTTCCTGTCAATATCATTGGGTAACCTTAGCATTTCGATTCCTCCTCTGAAGTATGTCAGCTTTCTCAGGTCTGCTGTTTCCTCACCTATTTTATTTGTCCTTTTAGTTTCTTTTGTCATTTCAATGTGAGTTTGAAAAGGAATAAAGTAAAATGCCTATGTTTTTATCTGCCATATTAAATGTCTCTAATGTATTATATATTTTTATTCAGCAAGGCATTTATTTGACAGACGTTTGTGATATTCTGGTAACACAGATAGAAATGTGAACTGGCTGATAAGATAACTAAGTAGGTTTGTAGTTTTCTTAACCACCTGCACCAGGGAGAATCAGTTTTAATGGACTGTTGTCATTACTGATGCTGAACGTAGAGCTGTGACTTTGGTTCCATTCAGTTGAACCATGAATTGGATGGAGACCTTTAAAGAACATATAGTAGTCTCCCTTTATCTTCAGGGCATATGTTTCAAGATCCCCAGTAGATGCCTGAAACCTTGGATAATACCAAACCTACATACACCATTTTTTCCTATGTATACATACCTATGATAAAATTTAATTATAAATTAGGCACAGTAAGAGATTAATAACAATAACTCATAATAAAATAGAGCAATTATAAGAATATACTGTAATGAAAGGTATGTATATATGGCACTATTAAGTAAAATAAGGGTTACTTGAAACTGTGTACTGTGATATCACTAGTCTGATAACCAAGATAACTACTAAGTAACAGGAGGGTAGCATACACAATGGATATGCTGGACAAAGGGATGATTCATGTCCCAGCGGGGGTACAGAGCAGGATGGCTTGAGATTTCATCACACAACTCAGAACAGCATGCAATTTAAAACTTATGTTTATTTCTGAAATATTCCAACTTAATATTTTTGGACCATGATTGACTGCATGTAACTGAAACTGCAGAAAGTGAAATTACATATAAGGGGGACCATTGTACTAATGAAATCCTCATGTAGCACAATGCTTGAGGTGGAGCAGCTAAATAAACTGGTTAACATAATTACGATTCAGCATTATCTTAAATTAGCAACGTTGAACAAACGTCCAGATCGTGATTCAAGAACCGTACTATACAATTTCAGGCCTGACAACTAGATTAGTGACAGTTATATGAAAAAGGTGGCCATGAGTTTAGTATGAGAAAAGAGTGGGATCTGGCTCCCAACAGGGTCGTGGTGACTTAGACTGATTTAATATATATGTAAAGTCCAGATCAACAAAAGTAATAAACCTACTTAAGTTTTAGACCTGTAGGGAACCTTGGCATTATCTAGTCCAACCTTCATCATTTTAAAGATGAAAAATTTAGAAATCAAATGACTTGAGTTAAGATAAGCTACTTACCACAGAGTTGCAACTAGAGCCCAGATCAGGGACCTCCCAAACAAGTATTTTTATTTGTGCCAGGTAGTCTAACCACTTATTGGTTAAGTGTGCAGTTGAAATACCACATGCCGAAAAAAAAAAAAAAGCTTAAAAACGACATTAGAATAAATATCTGATTCCAAAATTTATAGTTGTCGGCATTTAATTACCTATTACCAGGAAAAGAAATATAAATATAATTACCTATTGCCAGGAAAAGAAATATAAATAAAGTATAAAATGATGGCCATTATTTTAAGTAACACTATCTAGTTTCTATGGTGGACCAACTTTAATCTTCAGGGATTTTCTAGGTGAGGAAGGAAAGCATTGGCTAATTAATAATTAATTTTTGATTCATTTTTAATTTTGCAAAGTATGTATTTTGAAATTCAGAGTAAAATGGGAGAATGTTATAAAGTGGAGGATATTATAAACACTGTATCTTATTCTACCCTTAGCTTTTTATTTCAATAAAATACAGTGGGAAGTGAGGCTAGAGATGTGAGCAGTCTGTTCTTGACTAGCTTTGGGCCATGATATGTATTTTGGACTTTATTCTGCAGGCATTAAAAAAACTTGACAGGAACTACATGCCATCTCCTTCCCAAGAACATAAATTAATTAGAACGTCTAATGTTTCCTCCCTACCCTCAAAAGGTGTAATTTTTCTGTATTTAGTTTTTCTGTATTGTTAAAAATACATGTCAATCTTTTTTATCCAGTGGTGCTGATATCTAAATAACGGTGGTAGTTCCTCTAGTTTGTCTGGATGGTAAAAAGCTTAAACAGTAAATGCTTTGCGATTTTAAGTAATTCTGAATGTTTCTTTGACTAAAGGGCTCTTATAGGTAGTTTAGGCTGTTTGTACTGTGAAACTAAAAATTACTTTGTCTTTTTGAGGTTGTAATGCTTCTTTTTTTCTACTTTATTTTATAAACTACTTCAGAGATTGATTAAACTAAATAATCAGATTGTTCAGATTTGAACATCCAGAGTATAAGGATAATGGGTTAAGGATAATTCTGATTCATGGAACTTGTTTTCTTTTGTTTTTGGTTGGTTTTTATTTTATTTGTTTTGAGATGGAATTGTAACATCACAGATAATTAGAGCAAAGTCTTTGTTCAGTTGTGTGTACATGTATATATGTGCTTTGGTATAAACAAAGTTGGGTATTCTTTGAGATTCTGCTTTCTTATTTACTAAATTGTTATGTGATTTTCACGATGTTTAATGGCTTCATTCTGTTTCTTCAAGTAGATTAACCACAATTGTTCATGTAGTTGGCCTTTCAGTTAATATTTACCTTATATTATTATTATAAGTAAATAACACAATAAACATTTTCATGAAAGTAATTGTCAGAAATATAACATAATCCTCAGTAGCTTACTGGATAAATAATTTTCTTTTGTATATACTGGGCAGGAAATTTACACATACACAGTTATAAAAATTTTTTTCTTCTGATGAGGACTTGTATGACTTACTCTCAGCAACTTTCAGATATGTAATACAGTATTATTAACCGTAGTCGCCATCCTATACATCTCCGTGGCTTATTTATTTTATAACTGGAAGTTTAAAAATATGAATACTTTATGAATTTGCATGTCATCCTTGTGCAGGGGCCGTGCTAATCTTCTCCATATCATTCCAATTTTAGTATATGTATGTATTGCCAAAGCAAACATCACATATGTTCTTTATTAAACCTGAAACTTTAGAAACATTTCTACTATAAAAATGATTTTAGTTTTAAATTTTTATTGAAGGAATGTCACTTATCTGGAAAATTCATTTATATAATAGAACTCCCTAGTTGAGGTTTAAGAGAGACTATTACTTTTCTAATTAAAAAACATAGTATGCTTCTGGGAACAGATCATGAGGGAAGAGGTCTCAGTCATTATTATAAAAAGTATATATGTTTAATCCAAAAATGAAATTAAGGAAACAGTTCCATTTACAGTAGTATTAAGAGAGAATAAACCTCAAAAAAAAAAAAACGTTTAACAAAATGAGTGTAAAACTTATACTATGAAAACTGCAAAACATTGTTGAAAGAAATTTAAAAAGACCTAAATATACGGAAAGACATTCATTTTCAGGGTCCAGTCTTAATATCATTAAGATGGTGGTACTCCCCGATTGATCTACAGATTCATCACAATTCCTTTCGTAATCCCAGCTGGCTTTTTTGTAGAAATTCTAAAAAGCTGATTCTAAAATATATATATGGAGTTGTTAGTGACCAGGCAGAACCAAAACAATATTGGAAAAGAAGAACAAAGTTGGATGGCTCACACTTACTGATTTCAAGATTTACTACAAAGCAACAGTGATCAGAGCAGTGTGGTACTGGCATTAGAATAGACATATAGATCAATGGAATAGAATTGAGAAACCATATATCAAGCTGAGGTCCATCGTTTTTTGACTATTGTGTCAAGACTATTCAGTGGAGAAAGAATAATTTTTCAACAGTTGATGTCGGGACAGCTGGATATTCACATACAAAAGATTGGAGTTGAAACTTTACCTCATACTTTAAAAACAAAAAAATCCCAAATAGGTCAAAGAACTAAATGTCAGAACTCAAACTATAAAATTCTTAGAAGAAAATGTGTGGGTAAATCTTCATGCCCTCAGATTTGGCAGTGGATTCTTAGGTATGACACCAAAAGCACAAATAACAAAAGAAAAAAATAGGTAAATTGGACTTCACCAAAATAAAAATTCTGTGCTGCAAAGGCTACCATAAAGAAAGAAAAATAAAAACCACATACTAGGAAAAAATATTTTCCAGTTATATCTAATAAGGGACTAGTATTCCGAGTATATAAAGAACTCTAACAACTCAACAATAAAAAGACAACTTAATTTTAAAATAGGCAAAGGATTTTTTTTTTTATAGCAGAAAAGAAAAGCTTTATTAAAAGGGAAAGTACACTTCCAGACATGGAAGCAGGCCCAAACAAGAGAAATGTGGCTCAAAAGGAATGGGCAAAGGATTCAAATAGACATTTCTCCAGTGCTGACATAAGGATGGCCATTAAGCATGTGAGATGATGTGTCAAGCAAGCAGAGTCAGGAGGCTTTGACTAGAAATAAATGGCAAAAATTTATTCAAGTAGCTTAAGATTTGCAAATCAGCAACACAACTAGGCAGTACCCAGAGTGTTCCAAAGAAGAAAGAAAAGCTAAGAGTTCTTATAGTAAAAAGTGCATTCTTGAGAAGAATCAGTTCTGCATTCTTAGTCTCTGGATTGGTTTGATATCGTAATCTTCCATATGTCCAGTGGTCTGAATAATGGATATCAGGTGGTCTGGACACATGAGCATTCTTTCCTAAGTACTTTAGGAGGTAATCAGAGAGTTATCTATATCTTCAGGCATAACTAGAGGTTTCAAAGGTTTAAGTTCCTCAGCTAGTTAAAGCAAGAGTAAAATCATTTCCTCATGCCTCAACCTACTTTATTGTAGTAATTTAGCAGCTTAACTATAGTGATTCCATTTTATTTGCTTACTCTTTCCTCATAGTCTCATCAACATTAGTCATTGGGGAATTATAAATCAAAACCACAGTAAGATAACATATTGTACCTACTAGGGTGGCTAGAATCAATAGATAATAACAGGTGTTGACTATATGCTGTTGATGTAACATGTACAATGACTTCATATGCTGCTGATATAAAATTTAAAATGGTACAGCTACTTTGGGAAACAGCCTGGCAGTTTCTCAAGTTAAATATAATAGTTAATTAAATACAAGAGGACCACCATTTGTTCCAGCAATTCCACTCTTAGGTATGTATATACCCAAGAGAAAGGAAAACATAATGTCACTTGATTAATAGATAAGCAAAATGTGGTATTATTTGACTTTAAAAAGAATGAAGAAACAATAAAGAGCGTGAGGTTTCTTTTTAAGGAGGTGGAAATAGTCTAAAATTGATTGTGGAGATGGTAACACAACTCTTAACATACTAAAACCCAGCAAATTGTATACTTTAAATGGGTGAAGTGTATGGTATGTAAATTACATCTCAAAAGCTGTTACCAAAAAAGTATATAAGCTTAATCGAAATTGATATGTGAACTTGCTAATGTAATTATGTAACTTTATACAGTATTATGTTGGACTTAAGATTTAATATAGGTCGAAATGATTTTTCCCTCCTGTGAAACTACATTTATAGTTAGACTTAGAAAAGTTTCAAGTGTCATCACATTTGAGATATTTTTAATTTTTCAGTAAGTTACTGATTGGCAACAAAACTATGATTTCATTTATGATCAGTCCTAAATTCTACATTGTGAATCATGATTTTATATTTTTATACATATGTTTCATTGTTTTCATAATTACTTTGATAATCACAAGAAAGATTGTTTTATTTGCTTTTTCCTACAAGGTTTTTAAGCTAATCTTCAAAAAAAAAAGTAATTCCTTAATAGAGATGGTGCTCCTTTGATGTTTATTATTATTCCCCACAAGGAAAGGATTTTTGACTTTGAATGAGAATCTAATGATCACAGGTTAAGAACATTTCGGTTCTAACCACTAAAGCTGCAGAAGTTTTACTAAAAAATACTACACTACCTAAAATTCTGCAAATTAGAGTTTAGCAATCCATTGAATTGTTGAGCTTTAAGAGATTTATACTTTCAAAGTACAAACTGATTTTTTCTTATATCTTGATGTGGTCTCTCCAAAGACCATGTTCTGCCATTACAAATTGGGAGCAACTATGCTCAAAATGACAATAGTTATTATTACACTGAGAAGGTAGGTCTCGGAATTTTTTGTCTTCCTGAAAATGGACCTTATGAGTCTGAAAGGGGTTGCTCAGATTAATTTTTTTAACATTGTGGTTAAAAAAAAAACCATCAAATTTACCATCTTAATAATTTTTAAGTGTACAATTTAGTATGTTTAAATATATTCATATCGTTGTAAAACAGATAGCCAGAACTTTTTCATGTTCTCCAACTGAAATTCAAACAACATCCTTTTTTCCCCTCTCTCCCCAGGCCCCGGTAACCACCATTCCACATTCTTTTCTGTGAATTTGACTACTTTAGATAGTTGAATTATATAGTATTTGCCTTTTTATCACTGGCTTATTTTATTTAGCATACTGTCTTCAGGGTTCACTTGAATTGTAGTATGTGACAGGATTTCCTCCCTTTTTAAGGCTGAATAAAATTCCATTGTATGTATATACCACATTCTCTTTTTCTATTCATCTGCCCTGCATTCATCCATTGATGGACATTTGGTTTGCTTCCACCTCTTGACTATTGGAAGTGGAATTAAACTGGTAGCTTCTTAATGCTTAGTTTAATATACCAAGAGATTAGAGTTATGATGTGGAGGAAAAAGCAGCAATTCTGAAATAAGATACAAATATGAGGAAAGGTAGAATCATCCACTACTAATACATGCAAAAAAATGAATGAATCTCAGACATAATGTTAAGCAAAAGAGTGGTTATTGTATAATTATATCCCTAGATGTTCGAAGCGAATTCTTGCAATTACAGTCAAAATAGATTACTTCGAGAGGTGGTAGATAAGGATTATTGATTGGCAAGAGGCACAAGAAAGCCAACTAGAGTGCTGCAGGTGTTCTCTCAGATGGTTACATGGTTATATGAATATGTAAGAATTTACTGAGCTGTACACTTAGAATTTGTGCTCTTTACTTAATGTGAGTTATACTTCAGTAAAAAAGAAAAATGTTTAAAAAAAATTTTTAAGGCATATCATTTGTACAACAGGATTAAAGTTTGATTTTACATGTTAACAATATGTGTCAATGACCCGCACGCAGCTTTCCAATCTGTTCCTCAGGAGGAGCTGCTTCCCAATCACTGGTTCTAAACAAAGCTGAAAATTTATGTGCCAGACCCTTTTAGGAAATTGTCTAAATAATTAATAGTAAAGCAAGACTTTAAAAAAGTACATTAACGTTGCTTCTGGTGACATAACTACTTTCATTAGGATGAGAAGTAAATAGACATGTCACTGGGATCTGAAGTTTTTAGATACTGTAGTTTCTCCAATTGGTATATTAGTTGAGTGTCTAATATAAATATTCTTTTACTTCTGCTATAACTTTATTAATAACATCTGTATTTCCTCTTAAAAGTTATATTATCATCTAGAATGGAGGTCTATATTCTTGGCAGGAAAATATTAATAAATCGACTGGTTTTGCCTTATGATCAAGTTCAAGTCATTGACAATCCATGGTTTTAGTTCTTCTAGAATCGATTGCTTTACCTTGAACTCTGTTCATAATTGTGTTTTTTCACTTTCAACCCTTTTACTTTTCAAAGGACCATTTGGACTTCTCTTCCTGAATGGGTGAAATGTCTGACTGGTACTATAACCTTCCCCATATCCATGGGTCTCCATTTGGTCTTCTGATTTTTCACATTTATATTGTAGAGGTCTTCAAATAGCAGGTAAACCATTTGTTCTAAAAGAACGCTTCAAATCTATTAGAGATCTATAATGAAATATACTGATTTGCTTCAAAATTGAGTGAGGTTACCTGGGGGAATTCATTGTATAACTTTGAAATTTTGCATAGTAAAATTAAAAAATATATATTTTAGTATGTTTCTGTAAACTATCATGCTTTTAGGAGTGATTCATTCTAGTTCTTTTCTCACCAG